GGAGGGTTTTGCTGTCAGGAGGAATTTACGGGCACATTGCCCCGCCTGTCAGGGACAGGGAGCCACACCGGCTGCCGGGTCGGGGCTGCCACATGCAGATCCTTCATTTTCTGCTGGCTGTGGTGGAATTTCCCAACTGCACTAATTATATTATCGCCCTGATACAAGCCTCTGAAATAATAAAATACCTGTAAGTCCTGCTGTTTGGACTTTAGAGCAATTGCAGTTAGTTTTAAATAATTCACTGCAAAATCAGCTGGGAGAATACAAAGCTGTGCAGTCCTAATGCCTGGTATTATTATGTTAAACCTCACCAGAGTGGGGGGCAGCTTGCAGTACTTAGAAACAGTTGCTATGTAGGGTTGCAGCAGTCATTCTTTGGGCTGGATTTCAGGAGTTCACAGTAATCAGCACCCATCCTGTTTTTACTGGTTATTGTTTTTCGCTGATTAACCTTGCTCTCTTCTTGAGTACTAAGATGGGTCTGTGACCAGTGTGGCTGATGGGCTGGGTGATAGACAGCTGCTCTAAAAGTAGATGGCAGGGCTGGAGGGCAAGGCAGTTTGACTCTTCCTCCAGGAGGCTGAGATCCTCTGTATCACATATGGTCCTGACCTGCCCTTGGGATGGTTTTCTGGGGACCGAACTCAAACATGAGATTCATCTCTGCACAGTGGCTGAATAGGTTTAATAACAAAACTCTGAGAGTAGTGTTATAAAAGAGTTTGGGATGCAATATCATCTACGGTGGCTTTGCAGAGTCTTGTGCATGGGAGGCTTGGGGGATTTCAAGCCTCAGGGGGACCCAGGGACCTTGTAAAACTGGGCCAAGTGGAGCATGAGATGCACTTCTCCCCCAGCCTTCCCTCTGGGATAGTCATTTTGAGCTGTGAAGGGGAGGAGTTTGCAGTAACAGTCCTTTGCAATGCCACTTTGCACAGCCATACACACTTGTATAAAGCAATGAAGAGAGAAGCCAATGAGTGAGCTCACAAATGTCGTTCATCATTAGAGTAATTTCCAGATGCTGGCAGTGGCTAAAAGAGCAGAATTTGTCCCTAAACCTTTTCCTGTTAGGAGTTTCTGTGGGAGAGTTAGGATTTGCGGCTGATTCAAGAGGAACATTTAAGAATATGCTAAATTCGAATCTTGTGCTTAAGTTCATTATTTAGCATAACACATGCATATGTTTTGAGCTGACTTCAAGAAGATTTAAGCACGTACTTATGGTTTAATATATGTGAAGCATTCTGCTGAAACAAGGCCTTACTCTCTAAAAGAGAAGCAGGGGAGGTGTTTTTAGCATGTAAATGTACGTATGGGAAGTTTCTAGTACTATATGCTACAGCATGGCATCCTAGAGAAACTAACAGCAGGCTTGAAAGGGAGGGAGCTGTGTCCATTGAGAGGCTAGCAGGACAAAAGTAAGAAATAGTAGATGTATAACAAGCAGCTGGTTTTCCTGGAAAAAAACTTAACTGGACTGGATAAAGACTATTCCTTGCTTTTCGTGTATAAAATAAACAGTGGTTTACATCTGACTCACTGGAAGAGCTTAGCTTCAGGTAAATTCATCCCTCTGGCACCTGCAGGGCCACTACAGCAGCAAGACTGCTATGGTGCTGATTTATTTTAAGAATAGGTTATTAGTTTTATTTTTCTTTAAAAAAGAAGAGTTGGATTTTCTTTTCTTCCCTATTGGCCAGTTGGTATAAATAATCCCACTGAAATCAATGTGAATTTTACTGCCATCATTGCAAGAGAATCAGACTATGGTGTTTGTGTACTTTTTGACAGTGATTTTTAGAAAAAGCTTCTCAAAAGGTCTTTCTTGCCCTTCCTTTGTACATCAGAAAATTTACGTCTTACTTTTCGTCTTTTTCGTGAAAGTCTTGAGAACTGGAGGATTATGGTTGTCATAAAAATGAAATCTGGGAGGGCTAAGGGTTTTAATCAGACTGGTTAGAAGCTGTCAGGTTTTAGTTGTGCTTTTAGCTTTTATTTAACTCAAGCTCTAGACAATGAATTGTTGAAAGAAAGTTTCCTTTTGAAGTATTTGTCACTCTTGCTTCTTAGAGATGATAAAGTTCCCATTCTGGAACTCTCTTTCCCAAGAAAAGTCAGGAAAGTCACACCTCTAACATTTAGCAATATGAAGAGAAGGAAAAAAAATGTAATTTACATGTAATTTAATTTAATGTAATTTAATGCTACAATTTTGGCTTGTGGGTGGGATTGTTCTACAGTTTAAATATCTGAAACAGTCACCCTATGCTCTCTTTACAGAAATGGAAAAAAATTTGCCCCAGTACATGGCAATTCATCTCACCCACAATAGATAATTGAATAGGTCTGCTAAGTCCCACTCCAGAGATGCCCATCTCTCTCCACATAAAAGGAGCCTTGGGGATCTAGTTCACACTTGACTGACTAACTTTTAGACATCTCAAGTAAAGTGTCAAGAAGTAAATTCAACTCAGTGCATCCATCTCTCCTGGCCATTAATTCTCTATCCTGGCCCTTGCTTTCTCCAGCCTGCTTGTCCCTGCTCTTTGAAGTCTTCATGCTACACTCAGGCCAAGTACGTGTTTTGCTTTCACTGAGGTCAACGGCAGTATTTGTAAATTCTGGAAAAGTGGTTCCTTTTCAAGGGTAGCACCATATAGAAAATAATTATTGCTCTGGAAGTTCCTGAAGTTTGAAATCCAGATGCGGAGATTAATTTGAGTAGGTAGACTTGGTGGAGGGAAGATATGTGGAAAATAGGGAATACTCTCCACAGAATGATCTTGCTTGTTACACAGGGAGGGATGGAAAATTTAAACTCTTTGAGGCAAGAACTGTGCTTTCATTCATTTTTTGGATTAGGGAACCATCTTTTTGGTCTCAGTTCATATACAACTTTGTACAACAGATTCCTGACCTGGGAGAGAACTTTAACTTGGGCTAGGCTAATGTAAATGCATAACAACATAGAAACCATGTTTGTGTTTCTCCCAAGCCTGAGGAGCTGGTGTTCAGGGAGTCCCAGTGGAGCTGAGTTAACATGTCTGTCCTAAAAAACGTGTCCTTTTAGCTATGTGGTAGCACCATGCGATTTTTGTGCCAGTAGAAGCTATCTCTCTTTTTCTAGAGAAAAAGGGGTGAATGTGATTGAAATGTGCAGAAAATGCATTTTTCATTTCATTTTGAGCACTCCCATTTTCTCATATATGACACAGCTCCCAATGATGGCATAAAACTGAGTGTAGTAATAAATACTAGAATTGAAGAATGTATTATAACACACAGTTTTTCTTCCCCATGGACTTTAAGAAAGCAAAATCTGATTTTACAATATCTCCAGCTCTGTCTTTCAAAGGTGCTTAGCCTTGACAATTTTGCTTGAGATTTTTATCGTGTGTGCTGGTCAGGGAAGCAGTGGTGTCTGCTCTTGGCTGAACAGAGAGTGATTTGAAGTTATTGCAAACAGAGCTTGTGCTGCACTGAGGACTGTCTTAATGAAAGACTGTTAACATTGATCCAAATAAAATAATAATAAGACTGAACATGTTAGGGAGGTGGATCAATACAGTAGTTTAAGATACAGTGGTAGCACTTGTTTCCCAAGAGACTGTAGCACAAAGCAAGAACTAAGGCTGCTACACTGCTGAAAACATAATAATTTAATGTAAACTTGAAAGTAATTCAGATTGAAATAGAGAGAATATTGTTTTTGATTAAACCCTTCAAGGCTCTTGTCCCCCTTTGTTAGCCAAGCTCATCTACTCAATATACTCTCTTGCCTTCAACCCCAGCCTGAAGTGAAAATAACCATTATTCCTATTACCGTTGCTTCGGTACAGCAGTATCATAGGTGCTCACAAGAACACACAATCCTGCTCAGGTTAATCCTTGTGTTTGTGACCTAATGCAAAACCTTCTGATGTCAAAGGGAGTTTTTGCACTGAAGTTAATGGCCTTCAGATAAAGTTACATGAAAATGCAAACAAGAATGGAGGGCAGAATAATGATCTATAGGTAAGGGGGGTTTTGTTTGTTTTCTTTCCTTGCTTCATTCCTTGGTTCCTTCCATATAGTAAATGCCACCTCAGCTTCACTTCTGCTTGGTTTTCATAGGATCATAGAATAACTCAGGCTGGAAAGGACCTCAGGTTTCTAGCCCAATCTCCTGCTCAGAGCAGGTTTTGAAAACCTTGAAGACAGGAGGGAGACTGTACAAGCCTTCTGGGTGACTTGTTCCACTGCTTGCCTGTTCCCATGGGGACAGTTTGTCCTAATATTCAGACTGAGCTTCTCTTGTTTCAGTATGTGCCTGTTGTCTGTCATCCTCTTCACCTTGCTAAAGATGCCAGCTCTGTTGTATTGTTGACATATGTTCTGCTGGGTCTGCCATCCCATCTCCAGGCTGACAAGGCTCAGCTCCCTCAGCCCCTCCATACAGGCCAAGTGCTCCAGCCCCTGAGCATCCAGGTGGCCTCTGCTGA